AGATGCTATATGTTACTGCAATATTCTTTCAGCAGAACAGACATTATCTACTATAGAAAAAACCCAACTAGAACAAGGATATCTCAAAAAGTTTCTGGAACATGCGTTTATGTTAAACCTGCCTACAAACTAAGTAAAAATAATAAAAAATTCCTATATCACTAAAGCAGATAAGAAAACGTACAATGTGATGGGTCTGCACATAAAAGTGTCATCCCTTGCTTTCGAAGTTATTGAGTAATCATTCAGAATAAGATGTCAACTGTACATCGTGTTTAAACCATTCTATTTGTGTACAAATGCTTGGTTGAATAATTAGCAGCTGAAAAGGCATTGTGATTCGTACTAATGAGTGATATTTGGTTGCAAGACATTAGTCTTAGGTTTTACAGTAGTCATTCAATGTATCTAGCTAAGTTGTAGTGGAATATCTGCGGAGCAGACTGTGTGAAATTGGTTAGATATTTAATTAGAACTAGTACTTATCCAGCTGTCCATTATGAGAAAATGCTCGAGTTTTAGGAGAAAGGCAGCTCCAACATTCAGCCGAGTTACTGATGTTATCCTCCTAATTGATATAGATGAAACTAAACAATCATCTAGAGCTAGAACAGTCACTGGTTGTTAGATCACTAAGTGAGAGGATTGTTGTTGCTTGTAGTTAAGCACAAAGCTACACAGTGGGCTATCTGTTCTCTACCCGGTTTCTAGAAGTGTAAGTCCGCAGATATACCGCTGTGACACCGGGAGGCAAGTGAGAGGAAATAGGAATTCATGCTTTTGAAGCTATCAAGTGATGTTCACTGTACAATGTGTACACTAAATTGTTTACTTTTCACTTTATTACTACACAGTTAGTACGGTTTGTTGATCATAATATTATCAGGACCATAAAAGCTTAGACTCTCTTAGTTTCTGAGCTATCAAACAGAGTTTCGCTAAAGAAGATATCTTCTGGATATCAGAAAATAGCTGCTACATGGCCTCAAGCTAAGGCAGCTGGAATTGATAATAGTTATGTACCCAGTACAACAACAATTTACACAACTGAGAATGATAGCTAGCAGGTCAAAATCCCAGTTGAAAGGGTATTATGGCCATTGTTTTCTGAGCTATCAGTAGGTTTTCATGATATAATGTAAACACTACATTTTTTGATTGCCATCTGATGTACTTCATAAGCCAGGATGGTCATGTGGTTGAAAAATCAATGACTGAAAGAGCATTACAACCATTGTTTTTTAAGCCACCAAGTGAATTTTTTTTATGTGAAATGTCATCTGACATTTCGAGAAAATCAATCACTTTATCTAACCGAGTAACAGGCTGCCTGTTATTCGTTACATTATTTCCTATATTTTTGAAAGGTATGCCAATTCTAAATGCAGTGAAGAAATTGTGTTTCCTCTGAGTTTATGTTGACATACAGTAGTAACAAACATGGCCATAGCTAAGACAAATAGACAAATATCGACAAGCACACGCGGTCAACTTTACATATTGTATATCTTTTCCATGTGGGTGTAAAATTAAATAGCATGTTACATTTTATTTCAAATTTTAACCAAGGCCCAGACCTCAGTGACCTCATAGTCTATGGCTATGGTAATAACATGAGTATTAATCCTCGCTGAGGAGAATTTTAGCTTAAAAGTCAGTTCAACTGAATTCTGCCAGTGACTATTCATTTTGTGATACCTGAAATGAAAGATGAGTTTAGTTTGAGGGCTCATAGATTGTAATACATTATGGGAGTGTAGTTTCTGATACGTAGCTTTGGAAGGTAAACCAAGAAAGTTACCAAAGTAATTTATGCAAGAGGCAATCTGTTGTAAACTATTAGGGGATGTGACAATGTGTATTGACAATATATGTATATAACAATATATATGTATAGAGATAAATATATCTGTATAGTTTTGGATGCATCATCAGTGTTGTATAACAGCAATGAATTGGTTACTCAAAGAACACAATAGTGAGTAACATGTGCATGGTGACAAATAATTGATATAAAATGTTGTGACTGTGATATGAGCTTAACTGTGGTAAATAATCTAGAAGGTATTATTTGAAAATACAAAGCATCTGTTATTTTCATTAATGGTAGTGACAGAATGTTTAAATTTTGACATCGAAATATACGGCAAGTAGTGAATTTTCATGAAAGAGTTAAGAGTAACAAAGAAACGTATGTTGTGTCTGAAAGAAAACGCAGTATTACCTTTTGTTTTTTGTAAAGAGTAGTGCAAAATATTTCGATTGAATTGAATTGAAATACTTGAGAGTGGGTGATGTTATCATTAGTATATGAAATGCACAAAGAGTAGTTTAGATATCATAATAACTGTAAACTTGGTGTACCTAGTGTTTTCTTTGGTTGTGGTTGAAAATAATACTTGCATGATTAAAGTTTTATGATTGTACCAAAAAAACTAGTACCAAACTTGCATATAGAGGAATTTCTGTAAGGAAAGATAATATAAATTCTAATGGTCAAAAGCAAGGGTTGGCATCACCTAATTCAAGTTAGCTCATGTGTATAGGAGTTAATTTGTTTAGACTCCCCATTTATTGACTTTATAGCCAGGCTTTCTCCTTGCAAAACTATGTAGAAGACAGTGATCTTTTCCACTGGCAAGTCATGTGATACATTGAAGTTACAACTTCCGTTATTTTTAGATGTGAACGACCAACAGTAAAACAGGTGGCACACACGTTCTGAGACGAATAACAGTATTGTTTGATGTTTATGATGCTCTGTTTTCTCAGCCTGGGGTACTACTTCTTACTAAGAGCTCTCAAACCTCCATAAAGGTACTTTCTTAGGTGAATATATTTATTTTGATCATTTGAGTAAATCAATAAACTTCGTTTGAGATTGTCACATATTGTATCCAGTCTCTTTTTTAAAAATACAGTCAAAAGTCAGGACCAGTTAATATAGTTTAGGTTTACATAACATTTTCTGTCGTACCTCCTGTTATTCTGAGGAACGTAATCGATTACTCTAAGTGAAATCAATGCACCCAAGATGCCGCAAAGTTCTGGTGTAGTTTTGGGCAGATATCTTAAATGAACAAGAACATGTGTGTAATGCTGGTTAAGAAAATTTTTTGTTATGAGAATCTCTGTCAAATTTAATTTTTTACTTTTTGATCTCAGTAATTGTAAACTCACAAAATTGAATGAGTATTTTAGCATGAAATGTTCAATATGTACTTAATACAAATTCACAATCAACTTTGTAGGCTATGTTTGTTTGCTTTAGTGCAAAGCTACACGATAGTCTGTCTGTGCTTTGCCCACCACGGGAAGTCGAACCCTGGATTTTAGCGTTGTAAATTCGTATACTTACTGCTGCCCTACTGGAAGACTGGGGATATGTGCCACTTCTGCTCTGTGGATTAGGTTCTGTGATGTCGATCTTTTAAAAACATAATTGTTCATGAATTTTACCTACGTATGCCTACAGTGTCATAACGGGAAATATTTAAGTTAAAATTAAATATCCTAATGAACGTTTTTCACATTTAGTTAAAAGCTTGTTTTATTTCAAACAATTTGTCTGTTTTCTCGTAACTTTTGAAAGATAAATTAAAGCAACAGTTAGGTGGAGCTATTGAGGTTTTCTAAAGAATTGAATAACGAAGCAGAAGAAATAAAACCAATAGGCCTACTGGAATTTAGTAATAATATGGACTCTTGGTAAGCGTAAAAAGGCTTGTGGGTTGAAAGTTTTTGTACATCATTTGTTCTGGAAGTTTTAAATTTAATCACCTCGTGTCAGCAGAAAAAAACAACAAATGTTTTACCATGTAAGTTTTTTTAACTTATATGTTATAATATTTATTATTTTTTTAACCTTTGCCATATATTATTATTTAACATTTTAAGATTTAAGAATAACGAATTAATTTTCATCAGATTCGAAGTTTGTAATGTACGAGATAGTGTAGTACTAATAGTTGAAAGCATATTACGTTTACAGACTCTTTGACAGTTTGAGTCTGATCTTGAGATTATAATAATACAAATGAGCATTCCGCGCTCGTGTTCGCGAGAAAAATAATATAATTGTATTTCTCGTGAAAATTCTTCATTGAATGCATTTTATAAATATAATATAAAGTCTCACTTTTGACATCACCCTACATTAGGTAACACTAATCTAAACCTGTTGAAGACAATATTGTCACATCATGGAAACTTATACTACAGACATCGATCAAGGGATGGTTCTTCAACTTCAAGACTATCTTGCACACCCTCAAGAAGAGTAAAAATTTAAACCCATGTTTTATTTTGTAAGAAATAATCAATTCCCACTTTAAGTTCCTGTAAATTGTTGGACTCTACAGTAGACTAGAATAACTCATTTCATGAGTCAATCACCCTATTAGGAAAATTAAACTGCCTTAATTAGGGTCTAGCCTGTCGTTTTAACAAATCTTCTATTTGTTTCTTCTCACCCTGTTACCTTGAGAACATAGTATAAATAAATCAAAATGCCTTTATCCATTCCATCCCTGATAAAGCTCTTGGGTCAGATAATAGTTACCCAAGAGTTTTGAAAGAGGTTAAGGATTGGGTATGTAAGCCACATGCTACTATTTCTTCTAAGTGCTTGAACAGTTGGCAGGTGCTAGAAGATTGGAAGTTGAGTGATGTTACATCCTTTTTTTTGTCATAGTTCATATATATATGTACAGGTATGTATATTTTGTGCTTCATTTATTTTGTTTTGACAGATTTCCCTCGAGCATGAGATTCTTCTTCATCCTCGATATTTTGGCCCACAGCTTCTGGAAACTGTGAAGCAAAAATTGTTTACTGAAGTAGAAGGCACATGCAGTGGAAAGTAAGAAGATTGCAAACATTTATTTAGATTTTGTCATTTATTAAGTTAAATGATCTCTGAAATAAGTAAGAGTTTGCTGAATTGAACTACAGAATGTGTTGATCTACAGTGGACATTCATATAAAATAGATAGAGTGTAGTATAGATGAGATGCTTTTGACCGGTAATTTGTGACGAGTAATCTTCCTTAGATTTTTTTTATGTTAATTATTTACTTAAATGTATTTTCATGGAAGATGATATTTGTATATTTATATCTAACTTATTTGGGAAGAGGTACCAATAGATCAGAATAGTTATTTTTTTGATAGATAATGTTCAAAATGGTTGTCTTATTCTGAAGGACTCTGAGAGTCATAATAACTGGAACAGAATGTAGAAGCTACTATAAGTTTCAATAATAAGTGAAAAGTGATGCAGTTGTAGTATGGTAAAACTGGAAAGACTTGCACAATGACCCTTTTTTTTTTCAAGTGATACTTAAGGCTAACTTGCTATTGAATAGTTACTATATTATACTCCATTTGAGGTTTTCAGTGTCTAGGACAAATGATTAGCATCTTTATGACTGATTAGTTACTAGAGCTAGACAATTAATGTGATTATTTGATATAATTGATTACTTATGAACATTGATTACCTTGATTTTTGGCATGTAAAATGATTGATTAATTGAAATTACTTTGAAAACAATTAATGTAAAGAATTGAGATGCTGATGTTTTGTTAAATAATACTTGAAAAGTATTTTTCTCAAAATGTGTTGGAGGATGTAGTCTACTTTTGGGTTGCTTTGTTTGCATCATATTGATATAGTTTTTGCACTTGGGTTTCAACTGCCTTATGTTTTTATAGTGTGATATTACAAATAAAAATTCTAATTGCTTTAAAATTCATTACATGCAGTTTTACTGATGGAAATAGGTTTTTAACTAGTGTACTTATACATACAAGTAACCAAGTTTTAGGATGGTAGTTATTTTTATACTATTGTTTTTTAATGTGTGTTTTCAATTCACCAGAATAATTTCTTGCTTTTATGTACAAGTATTTGATGTTTAAGTTTTTCTTTACTCTGACTTAATACAATTTTTATATAAAGTGTTGTTTCACCCATCATGCTGCAGTCATCATCTGCTTTAAAAGTGAAAACTATTTTAAGTTAAAATTGCAAAGATGTGTATGTATAGTTCAGACATGCAGTAAGTATAAGAGGAAACTTAGGGTATTTTTCCTTTTTATTTCACATATAAAAGGTACCTGCAAGAGACTGCTGTCAATGTAAGTCAGTTACATTGATCCAAAACAAATTATTGTAAGATATCTGAATGACAAGAAAACAAAAAATACAAAACAAAACAGATTCACTTACTATCTTTAATATAAATGTGTTGATGAATATTTTTGACAAACTGGATAGATGCACAAGTTTAGAAGGTACACCATAACTTTGACTTGAACTGTTATAATACTAATATTGAAAAAAGAAAAACAATTTTCAAACTTTAAGTTAAAAAAAAACCCTATAAACATAAAGCCAAGACTTCAAACAACAAGAGAAGCAATGCCTATTATTTTCTTTCACATCGGCTTTTCAACGAAATTACCAGAATTTGACACTTATATTTAACATTTTATACCATGAAAATGACATCAAATCTCATTATAACTGGTTTTATTTATAGATCAATCCATTTCAGATGAGTCATGATTTGGTAGAGTGCATATATTATGTAGATGGCTTGATATAACTCGTATTCTTTTAGAGAGGGATCATTGTAAAAATAAAGAGTGTATTTAGTTTAAGAGTTCAGATTTAGACTTGAATTTTGCCCTTTAGTGGAAGAAAAAAAAGTTGTCTTATTGAATTTATTTTTGACAGGTATGGTTTTGTAATAGCAGTGACGACAATTGATAACATTGGTGCAGGATTGATTCAACCAGCACGTGGTTTTGTTGTCTACCCAGTGAAATACAAAGCCATTGTATTTAGGCCCTTTAAGGGTGAAGTGTTAGATGCTGTTGTTACACAGGTAAACAAGGTAAGGACAAAAGTATTGAAACAGTACATAGAAAAATTAGGTTTGTAAGCTCAAATGTTTGATATATTTAATTCTTAAGAAAGCATACTTAACATATTTGAGTATGAGATTGATTCTCTACCATAAGCACTAGTTTAGAGAAATGACTTTTCTTTTTCATGTAGCTTAAAATGTGGCAAATCACTAATATTATGTTCAACACTCATCTTTCATGTATCTTAAATGCTGACTAGTCAGTAAAATTGTTAGTTTTGCTAGTACATTGTAGACATAAAGGTTTTACAAAAATGTAGGTATGTGAATTTCAGTTTGGTAAAATATATTATGGTTGTGATAACTGTTAGTTATATATCACATATCAAGTTGTTTTGATACTGCTTCAGAGTTATACCTGTAATATACCAGTTTACTAGGAAAAATTCTCTCCCAAAATTCCTGGATTTACTATTGATACTGTTTATATGAAATACATAACTATCTGTACAATCAGTTATTACTGTCCATGTGTAGTATGGCTGTCTAAAAGAGTGGGACACTCCATTGTTTAAAAGACCATGATTTTTAACATGTATCCTAACAGAAGATTTTTTATACTTTTATTTTCAGATTGTTGTTAAATTTCCTATCTGTTTTAAAGATGCTGTTCAAGTAAATTTAACCAGTACTTTCATTCATGTCTTTAGTTATCCTTCTGAATGAAAACATTTGGGAAAATTATAACAAAACAGTGAGGCTGTTTGTCCATCCATCTGTAGACATCTTTCTGTGCAAAAAGTTAGTTCTAAACATCAGATTTTAGTCAAACTTCATAGGTTGCCTCACTTGGAGATGGGAAAGAACCATATATTGTTTTGAGGCTAAAAGGTTACAGGTCAAGAAATTTGGTTTTTGTATAAAGAAAACATAACCACAAAATACACACACAATATTTATCAGCACATCAAAAACAAACTAAGCAAGTGGTTGGGGGGGGGGGGGACAATCATTCTATTAATGGGTATTTAAAACTGGTGTGTGTGTTTCCTGAATTTGCCCATTTTAAACATGTAAATGGGGAGTCTGATCAATGGTTGTGCATGCCATCACAATGATATAGTGCAGTTAATACTATTATAATATTACAGAACAAAACTGTTCATTGAAGAAAATTCAACTGGTTGCTTTTTTAATATACATTCAGTTTTGGTCTTTTCACATTGAAATTTAGACTAACCCAGAATAATATCAGTAACATAAATATTACTATTATTTTTGATGTGTGGAACCAGAATTAATTGGTATTTTAACATGTGTGATCGTGAAACAAACTCCATTTTCCCAAAACATGATGCAATTAAGCCACAGAGTTTTTCAGATTTAACAGTTGGTTCAGAATGATGCATTGTCAGTAGTGAAACAAAGAGTGTGTTTGAAAGTAATGCAAGTGTCAGATTAAGAAATAATATTATATATATATATATATATATATATGTATGTAGGTTCTGTTTTTTGTTTTTTATTGCC